TAATTATTTAAATTACTTAAATTATTTAATTATCTAATAATTAAAGTAATTTAAAAAATGCTATATTCATCTACAATTGTTCAGCCTTTCGATTATTTTCTATCCTTTTTAAAAATTTCTTGTAATTTCTCTGCGAAATTATTTTTTCGATTTTGGTGGAAAATGAACAGATCTGATCAGCATCGTCGTCACTGAAGGCACTTGTCTCTTGTTGTGTAAAATTCTATGCTCGAGATTGACGGAGGAAAATTCTGTGGCAACCTTTCGCGCTGTTAAAGTCAACATTTTCATCAAATCCATTGTTGTTCCATGTTCATCTAAAATGTCGCATAAGCACTGTATATACCACGTTCCTTCAAAGGGACTCCTCCAGGTATAAAAACCTTAAAATAACAGAGAATTACGTTGAATGTATTTATTTATATTAATTCATTAATTTATCAATATCCCCTCTTTTGTTATGTTATTTTCAGTGATTCTTTTTTCTATACTGAAAGATTATTTATTTTCCAGAAAAACTGATCAGAATTGCAAATCCAGACTTATCTAACAGATTAAATCATAAAAAAATAATATTAAATTTTATCTTAAGTAAATGTCATAATCAATATAATAATCATTCTTTTAAATACAAGGAACTTCACTACTTTGATTTTAAATCATGTAAAATGCTCAATAGATTTAAAAAGTGACTTACATCACTTTTTATTCCTTTATATGTACGTATAATGTAATTAAAATAATTTATTTTATAATTAGTTATTAAAAGTGTGCTAAAATTTTTATATCTAGTTAAATTTATTACATATATATATTATATATGCATTTTTTGCACATTTAAAATCTTGAAAAGAAATAAATTCAATTTATGTAATATTTTGTTAAAAAAAAGATTAGCTGCGTATTAACTCTTAATTCTTTTTAACAATACAAACATTACAATTGTAATATGTTTTTATTAAATAATAGCATTAAAAAATAAGTATTGTAATAGTTTCTTTAATAAAAGAAATATTAAAGTAATTAATTGACACTTACCTTCAATTGAGCTGTGAGCTAACAGAAAATCCGCGTGAATCGGAATAGAATAACTTGTAGTAACGGAATCAGTTTCCGTTCCTCTTAAAGATCGATTGCTTACTAGTTGAACACCATCATCGGATTCATCGCCTCTACAAGCCTAAACAAAAAGTTATATATATAATAATGATAAAGCGGAAATATATCGGAATATGTCGATAATTTAAAAATAGAACAAGACTCGAAAACATTAGTTTAGTGGTTGATTTACTTGGATGAAAAACAACTTAGGTTTGCCCGCAAGCGTCAAACATTTATCGGCAGCAAAAGGCTTCCAAAGCTCATTGGATTCATACATGACGTCGTTCGCGCATATTATGTCCCTCTGCAGGCCATGGGTTAATGTAATGACACAGAGGCAGTCATTATCCGTATGGTCGAGCTGACTCACTATGTAAATACAATCGCGCGAAAGTTGAATTGAATAAACACACATACATAGAAAGAATAGTTTACTAAAAAATAATTTTATTAAAAATTTAGCTAAATACGAATGTGACAAAAATTTTATTAGATTATTAAAATAATTACGTAAAACGTAGATGTTGATGACAATTTTGTAAAAGTTCTACGTAATTGAATTGGTGAATGCAGAAAGGAGAAGAGACATCAAATTTTTCAATATTAACAAAAACTATTTAAATTTAATATTAAAAAGCTTAGAGATTGAAATGAATTAATCTATAAATGTGTATATAAAGCCTATAGAGCCAGCACTGGATGAACAGATGCAAATTATAACACACTTATTCGTATAATTGTTAAAGAAAAAGAAAGATCAAGAATCGAAACATTTATGTATCTATTTATATTTAAAATTATAATTTGTTCAGCCAGTGCTGACGTATATAGATTTTATACACACATTTATATTTAATTTTAGTTGTAGTAAAAAACCTAACAAAATTATTTTGAGAAATCAAGTATGAAATTTAATATCTTTGAAACACTTATAGTTTCTGAAATGTTTATCTATTAAATAAAAATCTTAAATTTCAAATTTAATCTCACATCCCTTTTACACCCCAAGCAGAACAACAAATCATTATGATCAAAATGACTCCAAAATAATTATTAAAAGTAATTTTTCAATTATTTTCGATTTGTTTTAATGTCACATTGACGTTATTGCGACTTGTTGTTCTGCTTGGGATTCAACATTAGACTTATATATTCTCTTTGCACTCGAAAAAATTAAAAAATTTGTAATATTCCGGGAAAAAATGTTTTATATATAATTACATAAAATTATATATAATTATATATAATTACATAAAAAATTGACATATTTTATATACAATTATATATAAAATATGTCCACATAGGTATATAACATTTTTTTCCCGGGATGCTACTATTTAAAATATATATTTAAAATAATGTCTTTTTTTATATTAAATAATGGGATAATTTACATAAAATTTTTCTAAAACATTGGAGTTAAAATAGTGACTATTAAAATAGCTCTTATTCTGACTATTTTTCAAGTTCAGTCGCTGGCTATTTGAAAAGTCTTATTAAAAAGCTACATTCTAACAGGATGTTATCATGTGGTATTCTATTTTTTTAAATCTCCAAATTTGCAAGTTCTGAACTCATATTCCTTCTACACTTATTACTCATTTTCAATGTCTACTTTAAATTAGAAGCCTAAAATAAATTCTGTATTTGCACTAAAAGCGTATCAATCCGCCATTTTAAGATTAATGAACAGAAAAACTAATTTTCGAAAAAAAATTGGACTTGTCTCCTTCGGTTGCCGATTCAATTATTTTAATAATCCAAATAAAATTTCAAATTTCTATCTATTTAGCTAAATTGTTTAGTAAAATTGTTAATTCATGTCACGCAATACTAAAGTTTTGCGCTAAACAAAACAATACAGCCAAGATTTGAAAAAAGAATATAAAATAAATTAATGTAAAATGGGATAAATATTTTTACCTCTTTTTAGCACATCTTGTATTTCGGAGAATGTAAAGTCATTGTGAAGTTCAACGTCAAATCCGAGGTTTCCAAAAGTTTTTTGCAATCTTTCTGCATCCTTTGCAGTACCCACTCGTTTCAATTGTGTAGACATAGAGAAATCTTCGTGATTGAAGATTATGCACTTACCGCGATTTTTGTGATTCATATTATAGCAGTCTGCATCCTTTTCAACTGGCATTAATGCGGTAAGTTTTGGAGGACTGTTTAACAATGGCTTTTTTTCGATGCTGAACAAAAAAATTAAACGGAAAAAGAAGTGTAATTAAATACTAATAATTTCCAAATTTTAATATAAAATCTAATCCTTAGTGAAAAAATATGTTTTGATGTTAATGAATAAAACGTAGTTGGAAATATTTGTGGTGATTGGAAAACAATTGTAATAGTACCAGTGAAATTAAACGTATACAATTGTGAATATTTAACGCTTTTTAGTAATACTTTAAAATATTTATATACATTCAGTATAACTCGTTTAACTGAAAGTTTATTCAACTTCAAATTAATATTACTTTAATGATAATATTTTTATTTAGTTTACGCTTTATTTAATTATTTCTCGATCTAATATTATCACAAAAATCTATTGAATTTTATTGCTTAGTTTCAGAATTATGATGTCTCTGTAAGTTAATAAGACTTTTCTTTAGCATTTATTTCTTTATATAACGTACGTGCCGATAGCGTCGATTGTTGATAGAGGTGATATCGCCCTTTTGTTGAATTGTTCACCTTCTTGCCTATTGTTCGTCGTTCTTATTGCCTGATCATCTCGGGATGTTCCCGGAATACACAAATTATCCGTACAATGAGAAACTGATAGTGTCTAAGAAAACAATCGGTTTACATTGTAAAAGATTTATATCTTGCTTTATATAATTTTATATAATTTTATCATTTTAATTAAATTAAAAATAAAATAAATTCAAAATATCTTTCGTTGAAAAACATTAATTCTAATTTCACGTTCGAAATGCAATAAAAATAACTTAAATGTGATATACATTCGGAAACTTTTTTTATATATATAACAATATAACTCTTCTTTCTATACATTTGTTAACAATATAATTCTTTTATCGTATGTTTGTCAATAGACAATTAGATAAATTTGTTACTCTAAAATTTTATCCCTAATAAAAATAGTTTGATATTATATGTTATTCTAATTGTTATTTATACAAATATTTTTTATTTGGAAAAATAGTTATCAAGTAACGAGAATATTATTCAAATTATTATCTAAATAAAAAATTATTTAAATTTTATCAAATACTACTATACTTGTTCTGTGTATTTAGCCCTGATAAAAACGTTAATCTTAATTTGAAAACGCTTATGTATAATTTGAATTCGATCAGTACGAGAGCCTCGTAACCACAGGTCTACATACATAGTAATCTGTAGCAGTTAGAGATTTGCTCCGGCGTCGGGCAGTCGAAGATGCAAAAACCGCTAAGTACCTTTTCAAGCCGATAGAATCAATCACTGCGGAATTGGATCTTTCCCTTAGAAGAGTGAGATTAGGAGGTGAGTTAGATGATGTATTTCCTATGTTGTTATTCATTTCCGTCTGAAAATTAATCTATTAATTAATCTAATTTAAAATTGATTTTAATTAATTTATTAATGAATTATAAAATTAATTTATTAAAATGTTACTAATATTTAAATTATATTATCCTAATTTAATATTAATAAATTAATAAAATTAATGTATTAATTGAATTTATTTATTAAAAAATTCCTTTATCATACAGTAGCGTGCTAAATAAACACTAGCAGACGATTTTCAAAGTAAAATCTAAATATAATGAGAAAAAAGAAAAAAATGAAAAGAAAAAGGAGAGTAAGAACAGGCAAATAATATCAAATGTACACAAATATTATCAAAAATGTACACAAGTTTGAGCAAAACATTTTTAAATTGATGGAGGGAACTATGCTGAAATCTTTTGCTCAAAATGCTTTATTGTTTTTCTGTTTACATGCTTGCGACTATAACGAGTAAATGGCAAAAATTGCGAAATACAAATTAAAATAAGTCATATTATTAGATTAGTTAACAATTCGAGAGATAAGAAATGTATTACAGCAAACTACTTTGCTACGTTTGGTAATTATTGTTAACAATCTATCGTTAGTTAAAAAGTTATGGAAGTTTTTTCATTGTTCTTAAACAAATTAATTTAATAAAAAAAATGAAATATATCTACTGCATTGATAGATAAATTTTAGTAATGCTTCTATTTGTTATAAACAATTTATTATTAATTAAACAATTATAGGAATTTTTCTCCTTTGTAAAAGAGTCTTAGATACAATTAATTAATAGACATTGTCTATTAATAAATCAAAGAAATAAAATAAAATACTCTACAAGATTTTAATACACGTTTATAAATGGAAAAAATCTATTATATTTTAGAATTTAGTCAGTGATATAATATACAAAAGCAATTAATAGATTTTCATTCCGGAATAGGCGCATAATTTAATTAACGTTTTAATACTCTGAAAAAAGATTACTCACAATCTTAATACATATTTTTTTTAATAATACTAATGATAAATAAACATTTACTTACAATAAGTAAATATTTTTCAAAAATGATAATTAAATCAAATTAATGATTTTTGTCAACAAATAAATATATATACAGGATGAATCGGAGTAGCTGAATCAGTTTTTTATCTTACAAAAAAATCGATCTCACACCTAATTATTGACTTATACCCAATTTTTTTCATTTACAGATAAATTGCAGATAATTGCAGATAAATTGCAGATCCAGGAAATAATCTCCATTGTAATTTGAGAGATATCTCCTGGATTAAGTTATCTAGAGATGAAGAAATTAGGCATTAATCATACATATCAGATGCGTGAATATGTTGTGCGAATTGCTGAGCTCATTGAAAAAAAGACGCATTTTTAATGTCTTATAACAATTTTCACAACTCAATGTCAAACGTGCCTGTTTTCACTGAAACCAGCAATTCGCACAATGTTATCCACGCATCCGATCCGTATCATTAAGTTGTGTGCCACGTAATCAATAATTTTCGAGGGTAACTGTCTCAACTACTCTGATTCATCCTATATGTTTACATTTTAAAAATTATTTATTTAGAATCATTTAAACAAATATTTATAAAAATTTAATGCTTTTTTCAGTATAAGGACATTACGTGAAACAATTTTACTGTAAGCGTCGATCTTTTTTTTTTTTTAAATATTGTCCCATAATCTCAGTAGGTAGAACGGACTGAATCAAAAAGTCTTAAAATTTTGCAATTTTCGTAATAGCTAATAAGAAATTAATTACTAAAGTTTGTGATATAAACGTGTATACTTGCCCAATCTATTGCAAATGTAAGCGCTTATCCAGGGTATCGATCATGTAACTTTTTCTCTAGAGCGAAAACGTGAAAAGTAAAAAATGTTTATGTATGTAATATTATTTATAATGTCGTATTGCCCTTGGTTTGGCGCCGAGACACTACCGTCTCTCCTGATAAGCTGAGAGTTAATATTACTTTTTTCAGTAACTGTAACTCATAGTCAGACCTTATATTTAGACTTCCTTAAAGAGTGATTCCAAAAAAGGGCTTTTTTTCGATGGGCCCTCTTTTCAACTGAACTGTGTGTTACTTTACAATGAGATATTAATTACAAAGAAGTTTTAAGTGGAGATGACAATTGTTATCATAGCTGAAGAGGATGTCATGTGTTATTAGATATATTACGGCTGCAAAAATCCGATTTTTTTTTTTATATTCAAAGCGTCATTTATGTAAGATTGCAGTAGTGTGTTCGGCCACAGCTATATACTGAGCTATATACTGAAGTGGAAAGCATCGACATAATACTAGAAGGAGCATGCGGCGAAATCTCTTTGATCTTTCGTCTTGACGGACCTAGAAAGAATAAGATAGCTAAATGGGCATGAAACTCTCTTTCTACTCTTATTGACCGAATTATGTTTCAGGACAGGGAGGAGTGTATTCTTTAAAATTATGAGTCATCCTGTTCTGACTGGTGCTAACGCAGTACGATAATTCTAAATTTATATTATTAATTATTAGATACAAAATAAAACTTGAAATATTTCCACGTGTATTTGTGCAAAGTAACACTCTGAGCACAGAGTGTTACTTTGCACTTTGTAACTTAATGCCTCAGGGTTCTTGATTACATGATTCACTATTATCCCCATAATTCTAATTCTATCTCTTTCTAGATCTGCAATGGTTTCGACTCATAATGCTCCGTCTTGTACTATATGTCGATGGTGGCAAGTACAGATTCTTGCATAACGCATAATACGTAAAAAATGTATCAATCAAAATCCTTCATTTTCTTCTTTTCCATAAAATAAAAAACTCTGATTGGTTGAATTTCTTATGTCTTATGTATTATGCGTTATGCAAAAGTCTGTGCTTCCCGCTTGAGCCTTCTCTATGCTAACATTGGAGAGAAGCATTTAACTGCGTCTAACGAGAGTAATAGCCATACGTGATGAATTAGACGTCTGTCTCACTTTAGTAATAGTACGTAAATAAAGTGAAACAAACGTATCACACTTAAAGCTCACTGATTCATCATACGAATGAGCGTTCTTCTTAAAAGCTTCATAAAATCCCGGACTTTGCAAATCTATAATGATAATTTGATAACGGATTTCGATTTCACTTCCCCTCCTAGCTCTAAAAATAATTGTCATCTCAATTTGAAATTTCTCTGTGATATTAATGTCTTATTATAAGGTACATTATAAAGTATTTGAACACAGAGTTTAGTCGCAAAATCGAGGGTTCGAAAACGGTCGATTTTTGGGAATACTCTTTAATAGATATCCAATAAAATAATTCGTAGAATATCTGAAGATAAATTTTAAAGGAAACTTTAAATATAAGGCCTGACTATAAATATGGACAATTAACAAATTACAAATGGGCTTTAGAAATCGGCGCTATAATAATTGCGCGTTTATTTCGATTGTTTTAAACCAATTCTCTATAAATAATATATTTGTCGAACGTTTCGGCTAACGTCTAGCCTTCATCAGCGCAATGTATTACATAAAATTCATAAAAATCTTCATTCTGTGATTACACTCCGACATCAAATTTCCTATAACCAGTTATAAATGGGATAGTTAACGATATTTGACCTTAAATATAATAAATGAATATTAGAGTTGAAAAATATTAAAAAACTTACAGGAATTGCTGTGGAGATTTACCTCAGGAGTACGTCAAATAAAAATTAGTTCTAATACCATAATTGTTGTAACGCAAATTCTTTTACTCGTGAATTAAAATTTAAGACGAAACGATGATAATTAAATAAATATTA